CTACACTCCAGGAGGATCCTTTTTTTTTTTTTTTTTCTGAGACAGAGTCTCACTCTGTCACCCAGGCTGGAGTGCAGTGGCTGGATCTCAGCTCACTGCAAGCTCCGCCTCCCGGGTTCACGCCATTCTCCTGCCTCAGCCTCCTGTGTAACTGGGACTACAGGTGCCCGCCACCTCGCCCGGCTAGTTTTTTGTATTTTTTAGTAGAGACGGGGTTTCACCGTGTTAGCCAGGATGGTCTTGATCTCCTGACCTCGTGATCTGCCCGTCTCGCCCTCCCAAAGTGCTGGGATTACAGGCTTGAGCCACCGCGCCTGGCCTCCAGGAGGATTCTTCACATCAAAATTTCCACTCACTAATCTGCACTTTATACCTGCATTCTGCTATTCATCCCATCTACTGGGTTTTAATTTTGACAAGGATTATTCCTTTCTGAGATCCATAAATGGCTTTTTAATAAAGGTTTGTTCTTTTGTATCTAAGATGTCTTCCTCCACCCAATGAGGATATTAATTTCTCAAGTCTTTCCCTTGGTTATCAGGTTTCTGCTTGCAGAGTTTAAGAATGCTTTTTCATGCTATTGGTTTCCTCCAAAGCTTGGTGGTTCTTGTTTGGGTGCTCATCTTTGGTTTTAGATTTCCCATTAGCCTATTGAGTGCCACGTCCCTGACTCCACGGATTGCAGGGGAGCGGGGGGCGGGGACAACACTTGGATAATATCGGGGTGAGTTTATGATTCTGTGCTGAGAAAGATTCTTCTGCAGAAAGCTGAGGCCGTGGCTCCACTCTCTCTTTGCAATCAGTGTTGCTGCTGAGAAAGCTGAAGTCACCCTGACTTACTCCTTGGTGGATAAGCCATTGGTTTTATTTCTTGTTTAAATGTTTCAGCATTTTGGCAGGGGGTGGTGGCTCATGCCTACAATCCCAGCACTTTGGGAGGCCAAGGCGGGTGGATCACCTGAGGTCAGGAGTTCAAGACCAGCCTGGCCAACTTGGTGAAACCCCGTCTCTACTAAAAATACAAAAATTAGCCGGGTGCAGTGGTGGGCACCAGTAATCCCAGCTGCTCGGGAGGCTGAGGTGAGAGAATCGCTTGAACCCGGGAGGAGGAGGTTGCAGTGAGCTGAGATTGTGCCACTGCAGTCTGGGCAACAAGAGCGAAACTCACCTCAGAAAAAAAAATTTCGGTATCTTCATTCAGTTTATCTTCAGCCATAACATATTTTGGGTTCCATCTGTTTTCACTCATCTTGGTGCAGTTGGTCAGCTGTCTTAAACTGTAGTTCTTTCTGAAGAATCTCATTAAAACTCTCATTAATGGTGAGAGATCCTCTCATTCATGCTTGCGTGCTCCTTCCCTCCATTCTCCATCCTTTCTCAGAAGCACACATTCGACCAACAGTGGAACTTCTGGGTCTTCCATTTCTGTGAGGTGGCCTGTCGGGGTGGGACCTCTGTGGGTGGTCCTCTGGACAGGGTCCTTGCTGTGCAAGGGTGTCACATGGCACCAGGCCCTGGCGGGTCACAGAGCCCTCTGCCGTCAGCCACTCTTGCCAACTGTGTAGCTCAGCAGAGAGCCAGCTGCTCCTCCTATGGGCATATTCCAACCAATGCCCTGCAGAGCCCACAGTCCTGCTGTCCCTGGCCAGCTAGCTCCAAGCATGGAGAAACTGCATGGCCACTCTTGCCTTTGCCTTTGCCTTTTCTAAAGCTTTAATTTATTGTCTTTCAGTTTTTCCACATATACCTTCTGACTTTTAGGGATTCCACATGCTTCCATTCCCTGAAGGCCCCCTTCCTATATTTTAGGTACTAGTACAAACTTTTGAAATCAATGTTGTTGGTTTTTTTTCTGTTATTCCTGTGAATTTGTAGTGGGAGAGGAAGGCCTGAACCTCAAACATTTTGATTCATTATTTCATGAACAATTTCCAGATCTTCTCTGTGGTTATGCTTGCTTGAGGTTTGGGGTGAAAATGTTGAAGCAGATGTTAGCCCATGATTGAGAATTTTCTTCTGCAGATGCTTTGTCTCCATTTTTTTATTGAAAATTTAGTTTTCTCTTGCCCTTGCCTTCATTTTCTTTTCCCTTTCCTTCCTGAATCACTCCATCAGTCTGAAATCCTCAGGCTGGGCAGTGCAACGTAGCTGCACCAGGGGAGAAGAGAGCCACCGTGGAACAGAGCCGGGTGAGGGCGGGTCACAAGACGGGGGAGGAAGGCATTGTTCTAGGAGGGACCAGCATGAAACCCAGGCAGTGGGAGGAGGAGTCCACACAGGGGTGTAAGTCCATACCAGTTATAGTGTCATATCAGGCAGGAGGAGAAGGGCATCCTTGGTGGCACAGACCATCAGAACTTGAGCACAGTGAGGAGGATATGCACTCAGAGGGTGGCCTGACATTTTGTTTCAGCTCAGGTTGGGTGAAGGAGCATTTACCCCAGTCATCAGACCAACGTGGGGAGCCACAGCCTCAGCCACAAGAAGAGGGCAATAGACGGTGTCGTATATCAGAGATCAAGAGAAACGGGCCAGTGTCTCTGTAAGACAGGGGCCAGTAGTAGCTGTGCAGAATTAGTTGCACACAGGGAAAATCAAATAAGAAAATGTATTAAAGATCATCAGAGCTAGGGGTGTCACTCTCAGAAAGAAGAGTAGAAATATGGAAAGGAGGCCGGGCACAGTGGCTCACACCTGTAATCCCAACACTTAGAGGCCGAGATGGGTAGATCACTTGAGGTCAGGAGTTCAAGACCAGCCCAGCCAACATGGCAAAACCCTGTCTTTACTAAAAATACAAAAATGAGCCAGTCGTTGTGGTGGACGCCTGTAATCCCAGCTACTCGGGAGGCTGAGGCAGGAGAATTGCTTGAACCCGGGAGGCGGAGGTTGCAGTGAGCCAATATTGTACCAATGCACTCCAGCCTAGGTAACAAAGCCAGACTCCATCTCAAAAAGAAAAGAAATAAGGAAAGGAGAAAACTAGAGTGAATTCTTCAATTTGGGGTGGGATTGGAGGTATCAGTGTGAGCTCACAGATTTCAATATAGATAGGCACAGAAATGAACACGGATATAAATGTGCAATGCTTATGCATATACACAAACATGTATTTCCTGGCTCTGTCCACTGAGGAGGCCTGGGAGTGGGGAGTACCTCAACAATGATGAAAATGCCTCCATGTGCTTTGCTGGGCCACTCCAGCTGACCCCAGAATTGGCTGTTTTTTCTATGGCTACCGGTATTTAAGGCTTGTTTGTGACTCCTTTCCTTGTTTTGATGCTGATGCAGAAAATTTTTTTAGCTTTATTGAGGTATAATTAACAAAGTTAAATGCAAAGTAGGTGTACAAACTTGATGTTTTGAAGGTGCTAGTTTTTATGGTGCTTGACATTTACCCTGGAAGGTGGGGAATGTTAGCGCCAGTTCACAGCTCGGGACACTGGGCTCATAGAGGGGAAATGACTTGTCTATGGCCACAGGACAATGAGAGGTGGAGCAGACGGAGGTCACAGCTCTATGCTCTGATACTCTGAACACAGGACAACAGGGGCAAGGAGAAAGACAGGAATCCTTCAGAGTGGGTATGAGAGACCCAGGCCCTGAACGAGACACAAGGGGCAGGACATGGCAGGACAGAGCAGGAAATACAGAGCTCATGCCCGAGAGCTAGAGCCTGAGACTTCTGGGCAGCATCTCAGAACATCTATGAGCTGAGGGACCAGCTCTCCAGGGCACAGTCGTTGAAGCAGGGCTGGACATAGGGCTGTGACTCAGTCCTCAGAATCCCCACTTTCTGCAGGGAACCACAGGACAGTGACAGCAGTGTTGACAGGCAGAAGTTCAGCTTAATTTTAACCTCTTTTTGTGTTACTAATTTTTTAATTGATAATTGATAATAATTATACATAATTATGGGGTATAATGTTATATTTCAATGCATGTATATATACTGTAATGACCAAATTGGGATAGTTACCATATCCATCACTTTAAACATTTATCATTTCTTTGTAGTGACAACATTCAAAAATCTTTTTATAAGTATCTTAAAATATACACTACATTGTTATTTGCTAAGTGGCAAACAAGTATGTGAAAAATTGTTCGACATCACTAATCATCAGAGTAATGCAGACCTTCACCTCTTAATTGGCCCTTATCATCACCTGGGCCCCAACCCCACCCCAGCTGGCAGCATTTCACAGGAAGGGACTTTCAGAAGAGCCAGCTCTGCCTGGATTGGCCCTTGTAGAAGTTGGGCCAGTGGGGAGGGTAAGGAACACAAGACTAATGCCTGCTCAGCTCCTGCAGCTGTGATAGCCTGAGGTCTAACACTCACCAGAGGGTTGGGTTGGCAGCAAAATGCCCTCTCTCCCACCCCCTTGCTTGTGGAACCTCCCATGCCAGCCTGGTCTGGAGGAAAATGAGTCCTAGCTTTCATATGGGGCTCGAGGGCAAGGGACAGATGGGGTTTGAGGTGAGGATGAGGACTTGAGTTATGCTAACAGCTTCCAGTTTGGGTCTCAGATTCTTAGAAGCCAAGTATAAGGACAAAGCCCCCAGTGCAGCAGGGAGACAGGATCTCAGGGCTTGGGGTTGGGGGACTCCTCTCAGTCCTAGGGGTTGGGGAACAAGCTCTGAGCAACCAGACCCAGACGGGTGAATTCCTGGAGAATGTGCTGCCATTGCCATGACCACCACCCGCCAGGTTTCTATTATACCCAGTCCTGGGGAGGGTGCACTATGTACATAGAATGATGTAAATATGAATGATATTCCATGGAGTTGACCAATTGACAAGTCTGTACCCTCAACTTTCCTTCCTACGGCAGATGTTGCTAATCAATCACAGTCTCTGCTCAGTCTGGAAAAGAGGCTCAGAGTCTGCTCCACATGAGGCCTCAGACAAGCCCTGCCCATTCCTCAGAGCTGGTATATGAAATGCCAAGTATCTGCTATCCATTGCTCTGACCTCCTGAAGCTTGTCAGAGACTATCTGGAAAAGACCAGTTCATTCCTTTATTGAGAGGGGAATACACTCTGTGACAATGCAAGGCCCTGAGCCCAGCAAGATCTCCAGCTGGAGATGCAGCTGGTTGGCTGTGACTCTGTACTGGCCCTTGATGAACCCTCGGGAAGCACAGGAGCGGCACCTCCAGTAGGCCTGGATGATGCGAACAGCATTGAGCACCTGGCAATAGCGCCTGCGGATGCGCCACATGCGGGCCTGGGACTGCAGTGTGACTGCTGCCCACTCCTCCCGGGAGAAGGCCTCCAGCGCCGCCCGCCGCCTCTTCTCCAGAATCTTGGACAGTATCAGCCGCCACCAGCACTGAATGATGCAGGCGCTGAGGGCCGCGTGCAACAGTGCCCGACGCACCAGGGTGCCCCGCCACCAGGCCTGGATCTTGGTGGCTACCATATCTTTGTCAGAGAGCTTCTTTTGGTTTTCTGGGGGCTTTCAAGAAAAAAGAGGGACCTTCAGAGAATGCTCCCCACTGCCTTCAGCCCTGGGGTGTGCCAGGAAAAGCCCTGATTCCCTATCAGCAACTGTCTCTTTTTCTGGAATTCAGGAGCACTGGGCAGGACACTAGCTGGAACCAGATCAGGTAGGTGTCCTGCCTCTGCCATCCTCTGGTTGATAGCCACAAGCACATCACCTTGCCCCTGGGTCTCAGTGTCCTGCCCATCTTGGGGCACACCTGCCCTGGCTACCTCACCCAGTTTTCCACGGACCTTGTTGACCAGCAAGAACACTGTGATATAGGGTCAAAGGGTTACCATGTTCCACCCAGATCTGATCCTTTCTTTCAGACCCCTTCAACCTGCTGGAGAAGTCACATCCTTTGCCAGTCCTGCCCTCTCATCCCTGGCAAAAGTTCATAGCCACAGCCTGTTCTCTCCCTCTGTCATGTCTGAAGACTAAACCCTGATTTTTTTTGTCTTGCCCAAATTCGTATCTAAGGGGCCTGGGGAGTCATGCCCTACAAATCATAACTTCTCGTCAGATGGGTTTTATTTAACCCTTTACTTTCCAACCTGACTCTGGCATAACATTACCAGACAAGGAAGAAAAATATTTTATCCCAAAACATGCTTCTTTGCCATATTTTGAAATGGCCCTGCAAAGCTGTTCTTTGTGGAGGAAAATTTGCATCTGTAAAGAATCTCTATTAACATAGCTAGATCTTTTTCTTCCAGACCCTCCCAAACCTGAAAAGATTAACTAAGATCTGAATAGGAAACATTTGTCATCTATTGTCTCTAAGGGGAGATACTACAAGAGTTCTAAAGAACTTTGGTCTCCACAATCTTTTATCTTAACCTGAATGTTCCCTTTCTATGAATCTCACGTCTTTAGACAAATTCAACCAATTGTCAGTCAAAAGATGTTTAAATTCACCTATAGCCTGGAAACACCACCCTCCCCCCAGCCACTGCTATGAGTTGTCCCACCCTTCTGGACCAAACTAATGTATTTCTTAAATGTATTTGATTGATGCCTCATACCTCTCTAAAATGTACGAAACCAAGCTGTGCCGGGACCACCTTGGGCACATGTTCTCAGGACTTCCTGAGGGCTGTGTCATGGGCCATGGTCATTCACACTTGGCTTACAATAAATCTCTTCAAATATTTTGCAGAGTTCAACTCTTTTCTCTTTTTGTCAACATGTCATAGTATCAAAAGTTCCTCCACTCCAAAGCTCAAACTCTTACATCTCTTCCCCATCATCATTTTTCTTCACTTTCACATTTTGAATCTTAATTCACAAGCACACATACATGCACAAGCTCCAATACACGCACACACATACACACACACACATGCACACACACGTACTTCTAACTGAGCCCCGCTTCCATATCATGGTCATTCCATTCCACAAGCACAGCCCCCACATCCCCAGCCCCAGCCCTGTGTGGTTTGGGAGGTCATACTTTTTCTAATTTCTCATTGGCATTGTCCACTCTCTGTGTCTCAACCAGAACTGGAGTTTTAGCCTGAAAGGGAAATGGGGAAAGAGAACGGACAAGATTGAGTTTATTTCTCTTCTTAGCTCAGCACTGTTAGATATGAGTTCTAAATTTCTCTTCAAAGAATCAATCTGTCAGTACGTTCAAATCTTTGCCTTCTACTTTTAAACTTAACTTCCTCATAAAGCAAGCTTTTTCTATTACCTGTTCCACCCTGACTCATTCCCATTACCTGCGCATTCTCCACCCTGACTCATTCCGATTTCCTGCTCTGCCATAACCATTTTTCCTGCCAAACCACTCACCCCATCACTCTCTTTAAATTAACCAATTGGAATTAGTTTAGCCTGTGCGGTCTAACCCTAGCCAACCGAGGAACGACCCAGCAGCAGGGGCCACGTATGTCAGGGATAAGAACCCCTCCCCCTCCCGTGTCCAAGGGTGCGCTCACCATTGCTCCATCTGTAAGGGCGCACCCTTCTATAGAAGCACATTGCCTTGCTGAGAATTAAAAAGAAAATTTTACATTCGAGTGCTATTTCTTTTGCGGCACTGAAGCTTTACTTATAACAATCTGGGGGGCTCGCCTGTGATTACATTCCACTCTGGGGAAGGTCTCTGGTTCTCTCTCATGAGGAGGTGCACCCCGCCCCCTTGCAACGGCCTCAGGGGTGAAAAATCAGGACCCACCCAGTGCGAGGAATAACCCAAGCTCTCAGCAACGCAGAAAAAAACTGGCCAGCAACCTAGCTTAAAGGATCCTCACATATTGTGGCAACAACTCTGTGCACAGACCAAGAAAGGAGAAGCTGTGGGAGCCGATAAAGTACTTCCTTGGTGGTCAAATTCTGGAGGGCTAAATGTGTGTGTGTGTGAATGATCACAAACAACCCTACTTGAGGTGTTGTTCATGTGGATGGTGACAAGTCCTACTTCTGGACGGAATGAGTGGATCCTCTCTGCAGTTCTGTAGCTACGTCTTATGGCTTAGGGTGGATCCTGCCATGGGATTTATACCAGCACGCCAACACTAAGAGGGGCCTAATTCTCCCTTGGGGAGTGGCCAGAGAGGACAACATGAGTGGGAAGTGTCCAAGGGACCTTCAGAGGGGGAAAGAGAGGAAACGGGTCAACCTTTCAGAGCAGCAAGGCAAGATGCGCCCTGATTTGAGGGGTTGAACCTTCCAGGATAGGCAAGGCAAGACATCCCTGGTTTGTGGGGTTGAGACTTATAGGGCAGGCAAGGCGAGACATCCCTGCTTTGAGGGGTTGAGCCTTCGGCAAATTTCAGGGGGTTGAACCTCACACAAACCTCTGGTAGTAAGAAAAATATTCAGAACACCCCTTTCCTTTCTTGGGGGAAGAGAGAGTAGCTCCTCTCCCAATGGTCCCTCCCCTAGGGGAAGGGGAAGGAGAGGGGAGAACAGCAGCATAAGCGGCTGGCAGAGGCAGGGAAAGACCAGCAAAGAGGAAAGAGAAACTGGGAGAGGAAGTCAGAGAGAAAGAGACAGAGTCGGAGACAGAGAGAGAAGGAGAGAGGCAAAGAAAGAACGAGAAAGACAAAGAGGGAGTCAGAGAGAGAGACAGACAGAGAGGCAGAGAGAGAGAGAAAGAGACAAAGAGGGAGTCAAGGAGAAAGAGAGACAGAGAGGCAAAGAGAGAGAGAAAGAGACAAAGAGGGAGTCAAAGAGAAAGAGAGACAGAGAGGCAGAGAGAGAGAGAAGGAGACAGAAAGACAAAGAGGGAGTCAAAGGGAAAGAGAGAGACAGAGTCAAAGACAGAGAGAGATGGAAGTAGTAAAGAAAATATAGTGTATCCTATTCCTTTAAAAGCCAGGGTAAATTTAAAACCTATAATTAATAATTGAAGATCTTTTCCATGACCCTATAACACTCCAATGCCACCTTGTTGTCAGTGTAAACAACGGCATAGCCCGAAAACACTGAGGCCACTGACAACCCATAGCCTTTCTAATAAAAAATTCTTAATCCAGTAACCTGCGGATGGCCCAAATGCATTCAGTCTGTAGCGGCAACTGTTTTGCTAACAGAAGAAAGTAGAAAAACAAGTTTTAGCGGAAACCTCATTGTGAGCACACCTCAAGTCAGAACTATCCTAAGTCAAAAAAAAAAAAAAAAGGCAAAAAGGTAGCTTAGTGACTCAAGAACCTTGAAGTATGAGGCTATTCTGTTAGAAAAAGATGATTTAACATTAACCACTGAAAATTCCCTTAACCCAGCAGATTTCCTAACAGGGGATCTAAATCTCAATTACCATACAAATGTCCGACCAGACCTCCAAGGAACTCCCTTCGGGACAGGACAATAGATGGTTCCTTCCGGGTGATTGAGGGAAAAAGACACAATGGGTATTCAGTAAGTGATGAGGAAACTCTTGTAGAAGCAGAGTTAGGAAAATTGCTCAAACCTGCGAGCTATTTGCACTCAGCCAAGCTTTAAAATACTTACAGAATCAGGAAGGAGCCATCTATATGAATTCTAAGTTAATATGGACTGAACGAGGTCTTATTAATAACAAAGAATAATTGAAATCCCAAACTTACAAGATTTTCAACAAAAGTAAAGTTTGCTAAAAGTTAACAGTGTAACACGTATTATAGTAACTTCTAATCTTGTCGCCTTAGGCAGTCTAGTCCACAGACATGAAGGAAGTTCACTTTGGAAAAGAATGGTTATCATCTTCAAGAAAAAAAAAGCCAGGGGGGGAGGGAGGATTTATGTAAAAAGGAATGTTATATGATAAATTCTTGTCCTAAAATAAATTAACTGGTTGTTTAAAGAAAGGGATGTTTGCAACAAGTCAGAAAATTGAGGCATGTCGAAGAATTGTCTGTGAAAGTCATGGAAAAAAAATGTTATAATAGGGAATTTGTGCAAGAAATGTTGTATAATTTAAAAGTAATTAGGCCTCCTGAATGTAAAACTATTGAAGAAACAGTTTATGTGCAAGGTGTGTAGGTGTGTAAGGAAAGTAAAATATACCTTTGGTGAAAGGATTATAAGGAGGTATAAGAATGTGGATTTTTACCTACATTAAAAGGTTTAAAATTTTTTTTGTTTTAAAGGTTTAAGCAAGTTTTGAAATGTTAATTGTAAAGGAAGTTCTGCGTGTAAACATATTGGCTAAAGTTAAAGGGGTATCATCCAGTTTTTCTGTGAACTGGACTTTAAAATAAAAGCACAACAGGTTTTTCTTAAAACACTAACCTGCTGTTTAACAAAAATTATAAAAGGTTAAAAAGAGTCTATAAAATTCTTACCTTATAGTCAGACATTAAAAATTGGATAAATATGTCTACAAGGTTTTATTAAAATTAAGTTTAACATTAATAACACACTAATATAAAGGTTAAATTTAGCTTATCTGGTATAAAAGTCATATAGGAAGCATTGTCAAATATAAAATGGTGTTTGACTTTCTTTGGTCTAAAAACTAATAAAAATAGGTGCTAAAGGAAATTTCTCAGTAAGAAGTTACAAAGGACTATAAAGTCCACTGCTGATGTCCCCACATTTAAAACAAAAGGTCAATTTCTTAGAAATTATATACTTGGTTTATCTTCTATTTTCCTTTCCCTCAAAACAAAAAGTATTTTAGCACAGGTACCACCCCTAGAATTTCTGGTAAACCAGCACCAGCCTGAGGATCACGTTCTCATCAAAGGGTAGAAAGAAGGAAAACTCATAGATATGAGTTCTAAATTTCTCTTCAAAGAATCAGTATGTCAGTATGTTCAATTCTTTGCCTTCTACTTTTAAACTTAACTTCCTTGTAAAGCAACCTTTTTCAATTACCTGCTCCACCCTGACTCATTCTGATTACCTGCTCCACCCTGACTCATTCCGATTACCTGCTCATTCTCCACCCTGACTCATTCCAATTTCCTGCTCTGCCATAACCATTTTTCCCACCAAACCACTCACCCCTTCACTCTCTTTAAATTAGCCAATCAGAATTAGTTTAGCCTGTGCGTCTAACCCTAGTCAATAGGGGAATGACACAGCAGCAGGGGCCACGTGCGTCAGGGATAAGAATGCCTTCCCCTCCCTTGTCCAAGTGTGTGCTCACCATTGCTCCACCTGTAAGGGTACACCCTTCTATAGAACTACATTGCCTTGCTGAGAATTAAAAAGAAAATTTTATATTTGAGTGCTATTTCTTTTGTGGCACTAAAACTTTACTTATAACAGCACCATGCAAAAGACACTAGCCACAAGCACTAGGACATAGGATCAATGACATCCAAGTCAGGGCTCCTCTTACCTCTGCCTTCGACTCTGCTTCTAAGGACAAATGGGTCAGTGTCTCCTTCTGCTGAGGCTCATCTTCTTTTGAGGGCTCCTCTGTCTTTATGGGCTGCTTCTCCTCCTGCAATCAGCATTAGGGGAAAGGCAAGAGTGAGGTTGCTGTCCCTCCGTCTCCATTCAGTATGGCATGCATCCCCAGCTTCCAGGGCTTCTCAGAGTCTTCAGTGTCAGGGGGTCCCTTCACCCTGAGAGATCAATGGGACACCCCTAACAAGCCTGGTGTGTTTGGCTCTTACCATTGGTCACATATGGATTGGTTGTAGATGGTTCAAATCCCCTCACATCTGTGTTCATCCAGCCATGGCATAGGCAGGAAGGGTGGAGGAAAAAAGGCCTGTGATGTCATAATGGCACCTGTGACTCAGGCACCAGATGGTTCCTAACAAGTGAGCCCCCTCCAAGGGAAAGACAAAAGCGCTGCCCATTCTTTTCTGCCAGAAATGGACAAAGCCCTGACTTCAAAGGCAAGATGCCAGAAATCCTGGCCCATTGCTGTAAAGGTTTATAAAAAGCCAGTCATTGGTAATAATATTTAATTGAAAAAACTTGGCCAGGCACGGTGGCTCAGGCCTGTAATCCCAGCACTTTGGGAGGCCAAGGCAGGCAGATCAACTGAGGTCAGGAGTTCGAGATCAGCCTGGCCAACATGGCGAAACCTTGTCTCTACTAAAAATACAAAAATTAGCTGGGTGTGTTGGCTGTCACCTGTAATCCCAGCTACTCAGGAGGCTGAGACAGGAGAATTGCTTGAACCCAGGAAGTGGGGTTTGCAGTGAGTCAGGATCATGCCACTGTACTCTAGGCTGGGCAAGAGAGCAAGACTCCATCTCAAAAAACAAAAAAAGAAAAGAAAAAACTTAAATAGCCCACTTTAATAATCAATAGGGGATTAACTTAATGGTGCATAGTTCATTCATACTATAAAATACTACATAACTATTAAAAATAATGAATTTGATCTATATTACTAATGAGGAAATATATAAAGATGTATTTATAAGTAAAAAAACTAAAGTTCCTTTTGATCCCACTATGTAAACAAAACTAGGAACATAATTCTACACATAAAATTGAATAATTTATGCCAGAAGTTATTATATGATACACATTTTATGTTGTAAATTAATATAAAGAAGAAAAAAGGTATATATACCAAACTATTACCAATGATTACCTCTGGAGAGGAGAGTTAAATTGCTGACTCATGCCTAACACAGTCCCCAAGGAACCCCATGAGGGTCGAGGACCTGCCTGGACTCCATCTGAGGTTCAAATGGGTTCAAGTGCTCTCCTGTCTTCCTCTGTCCCTGGGGTCTCAAGGCCACAGTCAGATAGATGAGGGGGGCCACTGCACAAGCACAGCCCCTTTCTGCCTGATCTCAGCCTCTGAAGACCCAGCTGGACAGGGTAAATCCCTGAGAGGCACAGCCCCTGGGATCACTGAGGAGTGCACTTGAAATATAGGGTGAGTATGGGAGAGGCCAATGTGGATATGTAGGGGGAATGTAGGGAAGAGGAGGAGGCCATTTGAGGCTGGGATGTGAAGTTAATGGGATGAGGGGGTGGGGAACATGGGAATACATTGAAAGATATGGGAAGTTGTGGGTCTGATATGGTTTGGCTCTGTGTCCCCACCCAAATCTCATCTTGAATTGTAACTCCCACAGTTCCCGTGTGTTTGGGAGGAACCCAGTGGGAGGTGACTGAATTGTGGGGGTGGGTCTTTCCTGCATGGTTCTCATGATAGTGAATGAGTCTAATGAGATCTGATGGTTTTAAAAATGGGAGTTTGGGCTGGGTGCAGTGGCTTATGCCTGTAATCCTAGCACTTTGGGAGGCCAAGGCAGGAGGATCATGAGGTCAGGAGATCAAGACCATCCTCACTACCATGGTGAAACCCCGTCTCTACTAAACACACAAAAAATTAGCCGGGTGTGGTGGTGGGCGGCTGTAGTTCCAGCTACTGGGGAGGCTGAGGCAGGAGAATGGCATGAACCTAGGAGGCAGGGCTTGCAGTGAGCCGAGATTGCACCACTGCCCTCCAGCCTGGGTGACAGAGCAAGACTCCATCTCAAAAAAAAAAAGGGAGTTTGCCTGCACAAGATCTCTGTTTGCCTGCTACCATCCATGTAAGACGTGATTTGCTCCTCCTTGCCTTCCACCATGATTGTGAGGCCTCCTCAGTCATGTGGAACTGTAAGTCCAATTAAACCTCTTTCTTTTGTAAATTGCCCAGTCTTTGGTAAGTTTTTTCAGCAGTTGAAAATGGACTAATACAGTAAATTGGTACCATTAGGGTGAGGTGTTGCTGAAAAAATACCCAAAAATGTGGAAGCAACTTTGGAACTGGGTAACAGGCAGAGCTTGGAACAGTTTGGAGAGCTCAGAAGAAGATAGTAAAATGTGGGAAAGTTTGGAACTTCCTAGAGACTTGTTGAATGGCTTTTAAAAAAGCCTGATAGTGACATGGACAATAAGGTCCTGGCTGAGGTGGTCTCAGATAGAGACGAGGAGCTTCTTGGGAACTGGACCAAAGGTGACTCTTATGTCGCCAAAAAGAGACTGGCAACATTTTGCCCCTGCCCTAGAGATTTGTGGAACTTTGAACTTGAGAGAGGTGATTTACAGCATCTGGCAAAATAAATTTCTAAGCAGTAAAGCATTCAAGATATGACTTGGGTGTTGTTAACAGCATTCAGTTTTATAAGGGAAACAGAGCATAAAAGTTCAAAAAATTTTCAGTCTGACAATGTGATAGAAAAGAAAACCCCGTTTTCTAAGGAGAAATTCAAGCCGACTTCAGACATTTGCATAAGTAATGAGGAGCCGAATGTTAATCCCCAAGACAATGGTGAATATGTCTCCAGGGCATGTCAGAGACCTTCACAGCAGCCCCCCATCACAAGCCCAGAGGCCCAGGAGGAAATGGTTTCAGTGCTGTGTGCAGCCTAGGGACTTGGTGCCCTGTGTCCCAGCCACTCCAGCCATGGCTGAAAGCGGCCAATGTACAACTTCAGAGGGTGCAAGCCCCAAACCTTGGCAGTTTCCACATGGTTTTGAGCCTCTGAGTGCGCAGAAGTCAAGAATTGGAGTTTGGGAACTTCTGCCTAAATTTCAGAGGATGTATGGAAATGCCTGGATGCCCAGGCAGAAGTTTGCTAGAGGGACTGGGCTCTCATGGAGAACCTCTGCTAGGGCAGTATGGAAGGTAAATGTAAGGACCGAGCCCCCACACAGAGTCCCTATTGGGGCACCACCTAGTGGAGCTGTGAGAAGAGGGCTACTGTCCTTCAGAGCCTGGAATGGTAGATCCAGCTTGCACTGTTTGCCTGGAAAAGCCACAGACACTGGATGCCAGCCCATGAAAGCAGCTGGGAGGGAGGTTGTACCCTGCAAAGCCACATGGGTGGAGCTGCCCAAAACCATGGGAACCTACCTCTTGCATCAGCGTGACCTGGATATCAGACATGGAGTCAAAGTAGATCATTTTGGAGCTTTAAGATTTGACTGCCCCACTAGATTTCGGACTTGCATAGGGCCTGTAGCCCCTTTGTTTTGGCCAATTTCTCCCATTTAGAATGGCTGTATTTACCCAATGCCTGTGTTATGCCCAGACCGTTTATTCCCCGAAGAAGACCACCAGAGTCCAGAGTCAAAGCTAAGCAGCAAGGATCTTTATTACAGGTTCGAACCTGGAACTCTCACTCGCTCGCAAAACGAGACGGGCAGGAGAGAGCTCCCCCACTGAGCCCCGAACAGTGTTATATAGTCTAAGAAAAGTGGGCATAGAATTATTATACAAATCAGATGTATGATTGGCTAGTGTTTGAACAAGGCGATTTGGCTAACTATGATTGGTTCCCGCCATTTCTGATATATCGGTTAAACCTTTGAGGTGGGAGAGCAGTTTTACACAAAGGCAGTTAATTATATTGCGTCAGGTTGCACAACCGGTTCATGGCAGCAAGAGTTTATCTTACTTAAACACGTCTTGTGACCCTGCCTCAGAACTTATAAAATCTCTGGTACGTGCAGAAAAACAGGTACTCACAGAATTTACGAAATCTCTGGTATGTGCAAAGATTAGAGAGCAGAACGGGGGGGGGTGGGTACACATCTTTGTGTCCTTTCACCTGTACCCTCAATATATCTAGGAAGTAATTAACTTGCTTTTGATTTTACAGTCTCATAGGCAGAAGGGACTTGCCTTGTCTCAGATGAGACTTTGGACTGTGGACTTTTGAGTTAATGCTGAAATGAGTTGAGTCTTGGGGGTAGTGTTGGGAAGGCATGATTGGTTTTGAAATGTGAGAACACGAGATTTGGGAAGGGCCAGGAGTGGAATGATATGGTTTGGCCCTGTGTCCCCACCCAAATCTCATCTGGAATTATATATAACTCCCACAGTTCCCACATGTCGTGGGAGGAACCTGGTGGGAGGTTATTGAATTAGGGGGCAGATCTTTCCTGCACTTTTCTTGTGATAGTTAATGAGCCTCCCGAAATCTGATGGTTTTAAAAAATGGGAGTTTGGGCTGGGCGTGGTGGCTTACACCTGTAATCCCAGCACTTTGGGAGGCCAAGGTGGGTGGATCACCTGAGGTCAGGAGTTCGAGCCCAGCCTGGCTAACATGGTGAAACTCTATTTCTATCAAAAATACAAAAAATTAACTGGGCATGGTGGCTTGTGCCTGTAATCCCACTACTCAAGAGGCTGAGGCAGGAGAATCGCTTGAACCTGGGAGGTAGAGGTTTACAGTGAGCTGAGATCACACCATTGCACTCCAGCTTGGGCAACAAGAGTAAAATTCTATCCCCCCCCCAAAAAAAAAATGGGGTTTGCCTACACAAACTCTCTTTGCCTGCTGCTATTCATGTAAGACATGACTTGCTCCTCCTTGCCTTCCGCCAGGATTGTGAGGCTTCCCCAGCCATGTGGAACTGTAAGTTCAATTAAACCTCTTTCTTTTGTAAATCGCCCAGTCTTGGGTATGTCTTTATCAGCAGCCTGAAAATGGACTAATAGAGGGTGTGACAGGGAAGGTGTGATATGTGTTCATTTGAGAAGGAAAATAGGATACAGGCCTTTGTTGTAACACTAGTCAGTATTTTACTTCCCCCAACTCCCAACACTCTCCACACCTCCCCTCCGACACACACACACATACTCATGAAAGCCTTGTGCTTCATCATCTGGAAGAATAAACCCCAAACTCCTCACAACCTAAGTAGTGGGCATCAGCTTTTTGAGAGAGAAGAAGACAGAGAAGGCCAAGTGCAGTGGCTCACACCTGTAATCCCAGCACTTTGGGAGGCCACGGCAGATGGATCACTTGTACCCAGGA